CTCATAGATATAAAGACAAATAGATAACTGTAGTTTGTAGCACTTGATGTTGAGATTACCTCTTTCGCAACCTCAGTGGGAAGAATATCAACAGCTGAACACATCACACCTTTACCTTCTAGGTCATAATGATACGAATTGTTGAAAGGTTCATACCTAGGATCTATGTTTAACAAATTGTAATGACCAGGAAAGAATTATTTAGATGCATCATTGTAAATTAAATTGGAAATGAACATCAAATGCCGAGTAAAAGAAAATTTTCCAAGTGAAGTGAGGAGCAGTATATAAAGTATATTCAAAATGGAAGTAGGAAACATATTGACAGATACTATAGAATCTTCATAACAAGCTAAAAGTACCTGAAGAAAGGTGAGTCTATTGATGTGGTTTGGTTGATGAACTCGATCGATCATCCCACGTCACAAGTTATGTCACAGATTCCAACAAGTGGGCATCCATTTTTCATAAGGTCTTTTTTTTTTTTTTGAGAAGGCTTTCATAAGGTCTTGAATCTGCTTAGTAGTCAACAACCTAGGAAACCTTCTCTCCCAGTACATACAATTTACTGGAAGAAGCAGGGCAGATTACCAAACACGCATTTTCACAAAATTGCTTGAAAACACTATAAAAAGAAAAAACTTGAAAGACTTCTTGTACTAGGTACAGTAGAATTGGTGTAACAAAGTTCAATTACATAAGAATGTTGAAAAAAATTGTCAAAACTGTTGAATGATAGCTGATGCAATAACTTGCATAAGAATGTCAAAATCGTAATATTTATAAATGAATTTTTTTCTTTTAGTAACACTTACATAACTCATAAAAAGAGGAAGAAGACACCAGGTTTCCATATAATACAAAGCTCTAGGTGATGAGTCTTACAATCAAGCATTGAAAGCTTTGATTCACTAATGAAAACAACTGCATGCTCATGATGTATCTAGTGTAGTCAGAGCAAGCAGGAAATACGTAAAACTAGATACTGAATTAGATTTCCCAAAAAATGATTAGAAAATGAACAAGAAATGCCTGATCATCACTGACCTATGACGGATGCATACGGGGCTATTTTCTCATGGAAAGCAGGTTTGTATTGCTCTGGATGTACATAGTAATCAGCCTGAATGAATGACAAGTCTATTGTTAGCGTAATGCATAAGGTAACATCATGACAGGCAAAGAACTTGGATGCTTTCATTTTCAATGATGTTAAAATGTAAAGGTACCAAAAACAATGTGCACAAACTTAAAATTTTGTTCTCGTCCTTTCCCATATTAAGAACTACAAAGACCATAAAACTACCAAATCTAAAGAAGGAAAGACTCCCTGATATCTTTATTCAAGTTAACGAAAACGGACACTTTTTTAAGGTTCCAACAGACAGAGAACTACCCATCACTTAGGCTATTAGGGACATTTAACCAGCTCTTTCCTCAAAAGAATATAATGAAGATAAATTTCATCATTCAAGCAGATTTTAGCCACATCTCTGCAACTCTATTTTTCTAAGAATTTCATTACCTCCTATGCAAGAAGGACCTAAAATGTATCCAATGCATATTTTAATAATACAAGGAAATGCAATACACACGCCATTAATTTTAGAAAGATGAAAATTATAAAGAAGGCAATCATACTTAAACACTAAAGTATGAACCTTATTGAAAGATTTTGAAGGATTTAAATGTTCCACCATGTCTTGGCAGGTTGCTACACAACCATACACTTGAAAGATTATCTTTGATGGTTGCTTCGATTGAGTAAGATCTCTGGCCTACACATGAAAACCAGATTTCTGAAACACAAAGCTATGAATTTTTTTAACTCAAGCATTTGAAGTACATAAAGTGAAGATTTGGCATGTGGCATGAAGAATCTTAGAGATCATAGGCGTTTAAGTATCTTGTTGATCCAAAATTGGTTAGAAGAACAAAATCTCGAATGTTGCACTAGATAGAATTTACAAGCTCTAGAACTGCTAGTGAAACAGTTTCTCCAAGTGAACAGAAATTAAGGGCGTGAACGGCCCAGGTTGCGACCGGTCCGGTCCACCAAAAGATCAACTCGGCCGGACTCATGTGAAGTAAAGTGGGAAAATGAAAGAGAAAAAACTCAATCAAGTGAAGCAATATATCGATTACATTGTCTTAAATAAGTAGCCCAATCTTACCATCTCATGTAGCTCTGGAAGTTTTCTTGGTTCCACAAATGTATGAGGAAGAAGCTTAAAAATTTCTTGTGCACCACGAGACACTACAAAGGATATCAAGATTTAGCCAAAAGACATACAATGAGAAGTTTTATGGAACACATTGTGAAAAGAGTAGATCAAGGAAATAGGTGAATAGAATATATCTTGAATAGAAGCTGAACTAGACATGTCAATAAACTGAAATTAATGAGCCTAGGTTACTATCCACGGTACCGTTTCCAGAACCAGTGAAAACAAATACAAGAGGACAGATTCCCGATGGAAGTCCCATAGTTGCTATCTCTTCACCAACAGAAATCACTGCAACCTTAGCCGCAGCCAATGAAGAGTACATGTAAGATGAGCCGAGTGAAAGAAAAGGTGTTGAGTAGCCATGATTGAGATACCCTGACATGCACATCCTTAAGTATTAGAAAAAAGATAAAGGTATAAAAGAAGAATAAAAGAGCATACATGCACACACATTACTGGAGTCCACAACGAGCAGGGTCTATGTTCATACAAAATCCAACAAGAAACAATACATGAATTCAATAAATCATCTTCAAGTTACAAACAAAATGCTTACAGAGTCCCAATCCACGTAGAAAATCAATCATTCCAGCTCTACTAGCAAATTTTCCAAATGCTAGTAACCTCTTTCCAGTGTCTTCAACTATAAGCTCATAGTCAAACAGAGATGCCCTTTCAGCTAAGATCTAAATATCCATCAAAAATGTTAATCTTCGAGAAAAAAAATTACCATGCCTGTTCAGTCAATATTGCTGACTAGAATTAGAGCTACATACCTTATCCAACAAGGGCATATTTTCCTTTTGTACCTTGTGAGTATGGGAGAAGAAGGCATACGCCCTATCAGGAAGAATCATCTCCAACTGCAATTCAAGTTAAATAATCATCATCTCAAGGAGCATAACTCAAGAAGTAAATCAAAATTTTCTTTTTTTTGTGAAAAATATTTAGCACCTTGGGCTGTTTGATACCCAAGATGAGACCACATTGGGACAAGTCCTCCGATATCTCACATCCAACATCTTCATAGAGAGCATCATGATGAACGCGCTTCGTAGATGGTTGCACAATGATACGTGACACTCCAGTCTTACCCCTGCCACCATGCAGCAGTCTAGCACAGTGTGAAGGAGTCAGAGGAGCCCGTCTTTCCCACTTGTTGCTAATGAAAAGTATTTTGTGAATTAAAAATGAAAATATGAAAAGATAAAATTCTTTCTTGTATTGATAGCCATGGCAACCGACTGAGTTGAAGAAGGGTTAGAGATGAGAGAGAGTGTGTATTTGTGTGTGATTTTAGTTGATTAATTTTATTAATTATTATATTATCTAATTAAGAATTGACAGCTAAGTATTGGTGTGTAGTTGAGAATCGGGTAATAGGTTGAGGGGGCATTTGACCATTTTCTCTTTTTTCTTGATCTTTATATTTATAAAAAAAAATTACCTTTGTTTTCTAATATTAAACTGTTAATATAACTAGTAGAGAAGGAAAAAAAATGTAAATATCATCATATTTTAAAAATTAAAACTGCTGGAACTAACACTACTTTTTATTTTTTAATTTCCCATCCGATGTCCGAATATCCGCATTGAAGCCTAATTATATTAAGATTCATGCTGCTTACGACCCCAATGGGGAGGCACTGTTTTAACCCAAAACCTCTTGTTAAAAGAGGAGGAACCCCTTCCGTTGCACCACATCCTTTGATAGTTGCAACTGAAACTACTAATTTCAAATAATGGTGATTGGACCCAAGCAGTGGATTTACACCCTTTTCCAGTCTTCATAAAAAGCTAGAGTTATTACTGCATCATGCTACAAATTACAACCAGGGGAAATATTGTCCCTTTAAAGTCCAAATGGAGATGGCTAGTCTAATGAAAAAAGCAAAAAGTCTTCAGTTTCACCAAGTCTTCTGCCCATTTTAGCCAATCAGTTTTCCTCCCTAGTTAAGGAACAAATGAGGAATCTGCAATAATATAAAATAGATGAATATTTAGCATTTTCAGAATTAAACATTACTTACAACCCTCTTTTGAATCTACATTGATCTCCAAAGCCAATTTCAATTCTGTATCAACTCAGTTTTCACATGGCTTCATTTTACGACTTTTAAGTTTAATAAAAGAAGAGGCCTTGTACCTAAAACTCAAACCTCAAAAGTTAAATTCATGATGTGAGAATTATCTAAGACCATATTTGGAGAGAACATAATATTTCCTTGACAGGCCCAAAATTATTTGTATCACAGCATAATAATTGGTTCTATAGCTTAGCATCAGTAGTCATGCTTCACATCGGAAGGGAGGGGGGATTCTTATCTACTTGACATATTATATCAGCAAAAGTTAGATTTATTGAACATCAGATTCATGACCTACATTTCTAAAGATGGGGCATTAGTAGTCTGATCTTCACAAAGATCAGAATTGCCGTGAAGTTAAACTCACCAGTCTCTACCACATGCCCTCGCTAAAATACAAACAAATTTTATTTTCCCCCACATAATACCACAATTCATGCAGTACAATAATACAGTAACAGTAATCAATCAGAGCCAATCATAACACAGCTTTTCAGCAGGACAGGAAAACAACTGATGCAGTAAGTGGCGAATTCCACCTTAATTATGCTTCAGTCGTGTAAAACTAAATGGATGACTATAAACATGAATAAAACTGAAAATACTCATATTTATATACCTTTTAGGAGTTCACTGGATGACCCAGAAGCACTGCCAATGAAAATAGATTTTGGTCCATTTGCTGGGCACAATCAACGATCCTTAAAGCCAATCAATCCCTGCAACTGGATCCATGGTAAAATGAGTTCTTTCTATCATACCTTTTATCCACGAACAGAATTGAGATGGTTTTTGTGGTTCACCACAATACAGTCATTGGCTCATATTGGCAAAATCACGAGGAACATTAATAAGAATGTCCTCTCATGTGATGATGTTGCCTACAACTTCCATCTTACTCTAAGATATTGTGCACTACCTAGGAAAACTATAAGAGAGCATGCAATTCAGCTGTGCCAATATAAGAAAATCGTAACATTCCACTATTGGTATTAAATCAGCACTACTTCAAATACCAGCAAGGGTTTGGTGATCCAGACAAAGGTGATGAAATTAGTTATCAACTCTTGCAAAGGCTTAATCACCACCCACCCATTGCCTGACAGGTTCGGTACAGCAAGGTGAGAGCAAAAGTATGCTAAGGTCTAAAAATGGCCAAAATAATGAGAAAGGGGCAACATTTCAAATGTCAAACAATTCTGTGAAGTGAAGCTTCCCATTAAAATTGCTAAAACTGTAGCTTTCGTTTACCCTTTATAGCGGCGGTTCTCTGGGAACAACCTTTTACATAAATTTATTGACAAGCAGAAATAAATCACGACTGTTATAAGGAACCAACAAAAAATAAGTACCAAGATCTGAGCTTAAGATTCATCTTTCTTGAGCATATTCCAGGTCAACCTCTTTGAAATCCTCTGTATCATCTATATCATCTATGGGTATATCTTCACCGAGGTAATCGAAGGAACCTGAAAATGCATTAAAAGTAGGTAAAAGTCAACCAGTTATTTAGATAAACCATGCAGCTCTTCTAGAATATAAAATATACATCAAACAAAAAATAAAAGAACGAAAAGTTATGACTTCACTATACAAGATATCTCTATACTAGAAACATGTCAACTATACTTAATCAAATTGCATAGCATACCCGTTCAAAGTATAATGACATTGCTGACAAAAGAAAATGTGAGTGAATGCATGGTAACATACACAGTTTTCACAACAGAATATGTAATCGCAGGTCTTTGGCAGCCGCAGGTAATGCAAATTAAACCAACAAAGGAAGTTTATGAAAGGTAATAAACTATGACTCACCTAAATAGTCGTAGAAGTTGTAAAAGGTAAAGGAACGCAGGGTAGAATCTATTACTCTTCAAAGGGATTACGTATAGAAATTCTGCATGTCATGTACATGGAATATTCCTAAACTAACCAGAGCTTAAGCTTTAGCATCAGTTCATTCTTGCAATAGCTATTTGAATCCTTTGCGACCGTCAAATATATTACCTACTAAATTGTATCTAAGCTGGCTCTATATTATATCAGAGAAAACAAATCAGGAGGAGAAGTGAAAATGTTCAATATTTTATGTCAGAGAATCATTTTTTCCAGAAGAAAATTGTAGACAACCAAATACTTCAAATGTTAAAACTTCTGGTTTTCTTCTCTCTGTCATAATAAACAAAGAACAGTACATAAAACTTCAACCAGTGTCAGTTGAATACAGATAGAGGATCATGAATCATAAGGCGAAATAATTTTACGAACACTAGAGGAAGAAAGTTTACATCCTGAAATTAATGGGGCTTGACTTGCAGCAAGCTTCCTTGATTCTGGCATTTTATTGAGAAGATACTCAAGTTCCAGAAACTGTAGAAGAGCTTCTGTCTGAGGGTTTTTATAGAAACCTGTGAAGGAAACAGAAAAGAGAAAGAATCAACATCCACATTGCTATGAAGTATCTTTCAATATACTACTAGATAAGAAAAAGAACTAGTACTACACTGAACAGTATTCATATGCTCACTGGACAAATTTTAATCTCACTTGTTGAGTAATTCAGGACAAACTCAGTTTTTATTCTAGATGATTATAACAGACTCAATTGACTCCAGTGAGCAACTTATGACACAAAAGAAAGTAAGTGCATAGAAAATGTCCTGGTGTACAGATCATCACCATGGAAGACACCGTCAGCTACAGGTTGAGAAGGTTTGTAGCATGGTGCAGTCTGAACAAATTCAAACGGCTTGGATCCTCTTGTCTGCAGCTTATTTCTTACAAACTGGCGGCACTGTTCTATGCCGAGATGTACATTACTACAATCAAAATGGAGGGAGTTACGAGCTGAATTCCTTGAAACATGATAAAAAACAAAACTATGAAATGTACATACTTATAGTTCGCATTCCTGATTGTCAAGGGCAAGACAGCATTATACTTTCTTGTGATAGCCAACCATTCTTCATCAAGTTGAAGTTCATATGGTCCTGGTCCGGATTCAATTTCAATAACCTATAAAGCTCAGTGAGTCGCACACATTAATTTAGGCCAGATACATATGCGGCCCCTTAAAACTTTTCCAATTTTTTACATCTGAACACTTAACTAAGATTTGTACCAATTGAACACTTCAACTCCAGTCAAATTGTGTCTATTGATTACTTATTTCACAAGTCTAAACAACTTAAAGTGCGTGAAAATCATTTAATGTGACTTGGCAAGTAAAACCAATGACAAAAAGACATGTCAGCAAATATAACAAAAAGCCAAAAGAAAACTGAGTTGGCCTGAAAAGACTTCTGTAAAATCTCCTCTCCAATGAGGCTATTTTCCCGAGAAGCAGAAATAATTCAGATTTGGAGCCTCAAAAAAAGTTCCGGTGAAACAGAGGAAAAGAAAATCAGACTTGGGTCACAAAAGTGTTCCTCGATTTGGCAGAATGATATAGAGGAAAAACATAAATTTGGATCTCACCTGACAATATTCCGGTGAAGTCCAATAGATTCCAGATTGGACTTTTATTTTTGGTGTAAAGAGATAGGATTAGAGGATTCAGATCAACTTTTAGAATTCTTAGGATCCTTGTAAGTATTACTCTTTTTGTTCTTTTCTGATTTTCTAATGGACTCTAGCATATCCTTAATGCCGAAGAATACAATGTTACCAATTCTCAAAACAATAGATTCCAAATTTGTGGGGTTATACAAATCAGTTTTCAAAGACTTTGCGGGAAGGATTTTGGGGTAAAAGGATGAGAAGAATAGTATAAGAGGAAGGAGTCTGATGGCCAGCACTATGGAAGATGCAATTCCACTTGAATCTGAAGAAGAAAGAAATTTAAAAGCATGTATTATTGTTCTAGAGCTGAACTCTACTTATTAGCAGTAAGAAAAGAAAGAAGAAAACACAACAATCATTTGCTGGTGTATTTCTTCTTCTCATGAATGTACAAGAAGAAAAGTTGGAAAAAAGGCCAGAAGCCAATTTTCCAGCAGAACTCTATTTTTTCGGCAATCACGCGCTCAAGTTCAGGTGATGAACACGCAACTTGCCATGTCACCAAGAGTGTCTGATAGGCACATTTTGAGATTAGATGTAGTGTTCAATAGGTTATATGCTTAGCTTAGGTGTCTAATGAAAAACTTCGACAAGTTTAAGTGTTTGTGTATGTATTCAGCCTTAACTTTATCTGTGAACTATAAAAAGATCTTGACTCAGTAAACAACAAGGTGCAGAGAAAGACCTGCAAAAAGCTTCTACCAGGGAGGCACTTATCAAGAGCAAGAAACTTAGTGGAAAGACCATCCTTCTCATGCTGAACTAAAGCAGCAAATTTGCAGTGCAGATGTGCAGAAAACCAGTAAGGAGGCCTCAATTTTCCCAGTAATTCTGCAGCAGGTTTGCTTCCCAGAGTTCCTTCCTGAATCTGAAAGAGTACATATCTGAAATTATCAGAGCATTAAGGGGCCCAAAAAAAAGATACAAAAATAGTTCTACACTTCAGAAGACGAATATGACACGAGGGCAAAGAAATTAAAGAAATGATAAACACAATTTCTGTGAACATAACAGATATGTAGATATGTTCTTATTGAAGAAAACTAAATTAACAGAAAGTCAAAGGATCACAAATATTAGACCAAGGAGTTGTCCAATTAAATGTGAAAAGGGAAGAAAACAAGTGAGACACTGAGGTTGCTCCAGTGGTAAAGCACTCTACTCCAACCAACTAAAGGTGTTGGCTGTACAAGCAACCAAGGGAGCGCCAACTACACAAAAATAGTAGGTGCTCTTAGTCTTGCTGAACACCTCAAGAAAGGCATGTCATGGAAAAACGACTACCTTAACCTGCCCACTATGCAAGACTTCAATAGGAAGCTGACATACTTGCTTGCACGTGATAAAATGCACCACACGATTACTTATCTTGTACAACGGAATCCTCCTGCTATTACAAAATTCAAAAGGAGCTAACAGCTAACATGGAAAGAAAGAAGATGAAATGGGGGGTCAGGCCCAGCTCTAATAAGATAGATCAGCAATAATAGGCTAAGGCCAATGAGGAGATTCAAAAAATTCTGAAGAACAATTCTGTGATGGTGGTCACATCTCAACAAGGGCTACACTCTCACCAGGAAAATCATGTTGGGCAAGTGCAATCTTCTACACCTGTGGTAATTGGACCTCTAGTTCCTTTTAAAAACTCCTTCCAACAGCTCTTACTCAAGACAATGTCATGAAGAGGGATAACCTTATGTTCTAGATGCTTTCTCTGTGGGGAGACTTTAGAGAATGTGAATCATCTGTTTCTACACTGCAAGTACACTCAAAACTTATGGAGAATTTTTTTGAGTCTCAAAGGCATCTCCTAGACTATGCCTAGGAAAGTGAAAGTTTCTGAGGCCTTACAGAGCTGGGAGGAAGCAGAAGTACTGGCAAAAGACAGAGGCAGATGGAGACTTATCCCTTCTTCAATATGGTGGGCAATATCGAAAGAGAGGAACTCTAGGTGTTTTGAGAGCATAGGAAATAGTGTGCATAAAGTGAAGCTCAACTGCATTTTGCTATTATGTTTTTGGTGTATTCAGTTATACTCAAATGATAGTGTCTCTATAGTTGATGTTTTAAACTCAATTTAGCCATAGAGCAGTAAGAATTGGGGCTTTTGTATATAAGGTTTCAGTACAACCCATGTACTGTTTTGTGATATAATACAACCTTACCAAGTTAAAAAAAAAAACTATGTACTTGGGTGATGATGCCAAAGTTTGGTGGAGAACAAGGGTTGGAGAAGTGTAGAGCACTAACCTTCCACGAATTGAAACGTGGATGTCTTGAAGAAGGAATTAAAAACCCAATTCCTTCCAAGCAACTTGTCTTGGGCCGCGGCGATTGAAACAAAGCGGCACAGTGAGGTCATATATCAAGGAGTTTTCATCCTTGATGCTCAATATAGGCAATATGGTAGAGGAAGACAAGTTGCACTATTTCATGAGCGGGTTGAAGGTTTGACCACAAAGAGAGTTGAGGAGGCAAAATGTCCAAACTCTAAACTCTATTATTGTGGCGGCAAATAAGTTGGCAGACTTCGATGAGGGTGACGACCCAAAGGACACTTTGTACTCCAAGTCAAAAGACAAGAAAAGGAATGGAAGAAAAATGAGAAGGGTCATGCTGTCGGAAACGAAGACGAAGTGGGGCAAGAGAAATCTACTTTTCCAAAACAAAAAGGGGGAAGTTTTGTGTATGCTTGCGGTGGTCCACATTTAAAAAGAGACTGCCTGGTACAAGCAAAGGTAAATGCTTTGATTGCTGCTGAATTGGACAAGGAGAAGGACAAGAAAGCAAACATTAATGCCTTAGCGTTGGTCGAGACAAAGATAGAGGGCACGGGATGATCTGTATTCCCAATCCAAATCTGCTTACTAGATGAGCAATGTCCTCGACGAGGATGTCGAGTTTCAAAGGGTGGGGGTGGTTTGTAAGGGGCCTGATCCTAAGACTCAGCAGATGGCACGGTGGTGGCAAAGGGTTGTCATGAATGACTTTGTCAAGGGCCTAGGTGTAGTTTGAATTAATCATGTGGGCAAGATGCTGACATTGTTAAGATGGTGACAAGCAAGGTTGACAAGGCAGTGTCGTGACATGAAAAAGGCACTGGCATCGACACTAACTGACGTCGACATTGGGCAAGTTGGCATATGGAAAATGGCATGGTCGGGTCAAGTGTGGGTGAATCAAGTTGAGCTAAAGTAAAGTATAGGCAAAGCTAAGGCAACAAGAAGACAATGAATGGCACGAGGGAAACAAAAGTTAGCATGGGTAAGGAAAACGCAAGCAAGGCAGCGACAACGCGTTGGCAGTGCGTCGGCAGACCATGTGCGGCCGGGTCCAAGTTGGCTATGGCAAGACAACGGCTAGGCAAAGCCTAGACAACGTATTGGCGCCAAAATAGGGCGGGAAGCTGGCAACAAGGGGCGAAATTGGGTAGCACAAGGCACATGCCAAGCACATGCGGCGGTTACCATTTTGTAACTGCTTGTCCAGATTCAATCTATCTTTGTATAACTTTGTAATTCGAATTTTGAGTGCCTTATTAGATGGGGATGTCAACTGAACATTAGCCTTGATTGGCCCCGATCATGACAAGGGTTGGAAAGGTGTCGGCAGGCTGTTTATTGTAAGTCAAAGGCTGTCACATGGTCTATAAATGTGCAGCCTTGGCCTTGGACGAAATCAATAGTGAAAGAGCAAAGAAATAAGTCTAGAATTTCACTAAGTACACTAAGAAGGAACGCAAGGGTTTCAAGAGTGTCTTTCGGCAGCAATCGACTTGTGGCTGTGCCTTAGTCGAAGTCGAAGCTGTGGCAAAATTGTTGTCATAATGAGTGAGGGTCCTTGTATTGTTTTGAATTAATATAAAGGTTGGGTTTCCCCATATATGTTATGTTCATTTCAGTTTTGGCATCGAAAATAATTTAAGGCCAAAAAGTAGGCGTTGTTGAAAAAACAGACAGACTTGTCTGCAAGCAGGCAGAGTCAGGCAAGCGGACTTGACTGCCGCACAGTGGGCTAACCTCTGGCATAAAATCTGAGCGTAGAAATCTGCCCCTATGCTATCATCATTAATGGACTATCAAACTTCCTTAAACAGATGTAGAACATCTAACAAGCATAGGTTCTGAACATACACCTATGCTAGTTAAGTGTTCTGTATAGTTTTAACTTATTTTTCACTTTTATTTCATTTAGTATGATGATATAATATGAGCTTAAATGAAGAAATCGAGATTCATATAGCCGACTCCAAATTGTTTGGGACTGAGGTGTAGTTGTTGTTGTATGGTATTTTCCAATAGGATAAGCAGATAGATACATAGGACTTCATCTAACAAGGTATATCAGCCATGGCAAAAGTGAACCCGCTCAATATTACCTCTTGCTCAAAGAAAGGTTTTTGACGAAGAAGAGCTTTCAAGTCCCCACCGGCGGTGATGCCAACAGGCCAGTCATGTGAAAGAAAGATATCAATTGGTTCCTCAATTTGCAAGAGCTTGTGGACATCATACTCGCGAACATGATATATCGATCGAATATCCTGTTCACTATAAGGTAGCTTCTCATAGTGCCCTGCCCAATATCAGGCAATTATCACATATAGCAGTCATGTAAATCCAATTTCAAATTTATAGAACTTATATTCAGTAACAAATCTAGAGGAGCTAGGTACAGTGAATTAGCCAACCAATAAAACTTGCATTTGACAAAACCTACAAGTTTGCTAACACATCAACAACAAAAATGTCAATATCCAAATCCAGGTAGTATTTGCTAGGACTAACATACCCATATTGTAATGGTGTGATTTATAAATTCCAGAAAGGCCACCAATACGAATGTTGCCAAACTTGATTACTCCAGCAAATCCAAGGAAGTATATCTGAGGTGCTGCCCATCCTCCATAGTACCTGGAAGCACAAACAATCATTGTATTAGGAGGCAAGTTGAGGAAAGTAGCAAATCAGAAGGGATGTATCCTACATTCCATGTTATTCCTCATTCACCATTCCATCTTATCATACCTTTATCAATTATAGCTGAAAGAGCATCTATGAACAGAAAAAGAATCTCCCTCTCATGCTCAAGTTTGCAAGAAGAGAGAACAATCCAGAATGCATCCAACAGAGAAATTTTAAGGAAACTCAGTGAATTATGCCATTGGAGAAATACAACATGACTGGTCATATCAAACCAGCTTTCAGATTTCAACACTTCGTGCTCAAGTAAACTAAACAATAACTTGTGAGAAAATGAAATCCTTAATATTCTTCTTCTTTTTTCTAAGTTGCAACACCTCAACGGCTAGTTCCAAAAAAAATTATTTTAATAAATAAAGTAAAAAGTTTATAAGGTCATTTTAGCAATGTTATATGGGAGTGAATACTGGACTTCAAAATTCGTACACATTCCTAAGATGAGTGTTGTAGAAATGCCAGAAGTTTAGATGAACGTGAGGTCATTTAAAAAATTACATCCGACAGAAGGTATAAAGATCATCATGGAGGATAATTCAACAAAATGGTGCCTAAGATGATTTGATTAGTTCTATGTACACCTCCAAAAAGACCAGTCAGAAGGTGTGATACTATGGTCATTGAAAGTGTTAAAACAGAACAAGATAGACCTAAAACATATGTGAGGAAGTTGTCCAAAAGACCTAAAACTTCTTAGAATTCAGGAGAACATAGTGAAAAACATAAAACAATAAAAGGAAAAGATTCATAGATGATACCAACTTCTACTTCAATCCCATTTTATGTTCAACACTTTAAATGGGCAAAAAGTTTAAGAAATGTGGAAAGAGTTCCGAAACTTGTGGTCTAAAACAAGCCATAGATATTTGCGTGACTATAAATCATCTCATTTACGCATATATGGAAAGTTTAAAGTTATATCGTTTCTAAATATAGAAAGGTAACATTCTTTTTAGGATAGAGCAAAAAGGGAAGTGCACCAACCTTCTTTTTTTTTATTTGTTTGACGAGGGAAGACCCTTAAGTACTAAATTAATGAAATTACACCTATATCGCATCACATAAGTTGGACAAAGGGAGTACTTGGGATTAAGGCTTAGTTGTGTTAGTTTACTTACATTATTTCCAATGTTTGCTAGATCTTTCTAGTTGTATTTGAAATTTGTATCACAATAGAAAATAAGGAGAACCTCTAGTGCTATAAAATTATTGAGGAAGAATGGATATTGAGGATATGTATAGCCAACCCAAACTAATTTGGGATTAAAGCATAATTGTTGTTGTAGTAAGTTGTATATCCATAATGGTGGTGTCTCAACCAACATGAACACACTCTACCAGGTAAGTTGCATGTCCTTAATTTAAACATTTATTTTAAAGTGATAAATATGCAAATAAATAGATGAAAGCATTTCATGAGTCAAGAGACTAAAGATTTAAGAAGTAAACTGGTTCAAATCACCACACAGCACAAACACAAGCTCTTCATACAGAAACCGTTAACTCATTTGCGATTCTTTCAAGATGCTTTTCTTAAATTTCCATTAAGTACTATTGTAAGCACTTGACAGTGAATAGACACTCGAATGTCAAGTAATACTGATAAAGATTCTTTGGAAGTTCCAGATTAAGAGATGAGGTACAGAAATGTATATCAATCATGGGTAACAATCTCATGCAATATTGACTGCAGTTATAATATATGGGCACCAACTCACAGTTCCCAAAGGTAATTGGATGCTTCGTGGTTTCCTCCAATAAATATAGTTGGAAACGGTGCTACTTTCTCTCCTGAGTAATACTTCCAGAAAGAGTTCATGCTCCGGAATTTAGGTGGCACATTTAAGCTTTCCAGATCCTTCTCATTCCTAACAGCCTGTTTGCACAAATAAAATATCTCAATTCGTACTAGTCAAGTCAAGGATTTAAGTGTTTGCAATTCAATTACTGCAACATTTCAGCCAATCAGTTAATATGAGAAATCTCTTATCTCAAATTTTATTCTTTTTTTGAGATAAAAAATCTCTTATCTCAAATTTTATTCTTGGTTGTGTTTGTCTTCAATATAACCATGAAATTAAGAATAATCAAGGAATCCCCATATCACTACCAACATCATGAAACATAGAAGATCAAAACACTAAAGAGTTGTATTATAACCATTTTTAAAAAAAACACTAAAGAGTTGTATCAAAGAAGAATGATTCAAAATAATGAAGAGCACACTTAAACTGAATTAAAAGGATGAGCCAAAGCCTAATTTTCCAATGAATGGATAACAATTACAAGAATAATTATACATAGAAGCTTCAAAACAACAAAATCCAAGTGTAATCATTATTGTGTGGTATATGTAAAAAAAAAAGAGCAAAAGCCTGATCTATTATCAACTCGTTCGGGAAAATCAAAAAAGTAAGTAATGCGTCAAAAGATAACAAGGAACAAGTGGATCTACCTGAAAGTCACCGCAGCATAAAAGGAGATCAATTTTTATATTTTGAACTTCTTGCAAATGCAATAAGGTGGCATAAACATTATCCAAGTCTCCGTGCATACACCCTTCTACAGCTATCCTCATCTGCATTTAAGTAACCAAAAATTCCATTAGAGCAACTTCAAATTCATATATAGATATTCTAAACAACAAAAAGTAAGGGTTGTCTCATCATTACTGACACAACTCAGCCAACCAGTGAAATAAACTAAACAAACTTCTCAAGCAAATTAACACTTTCAGAATATATATATATATATATTATAATTGTTGGAACCCCAAATCTAAAAACTTGAAAGACCTAAATATCCTCCTAAATAACTTGAGTAACCCTTCTTTTTTAAAAAAAAATGGTAATTGTTTCTATTTATGCAGAACAGTACATAGGTTGTACTGAAACTCTTCTTTTAAATATAACTATTGTTTAATAATCTATATCTATCTATTCTATATTCTATAAAAGTGGGAACCTCAAATTAGATGTCATTTTTATTTAAATAAGTATTATTTAATAATAATATTAAAGTAAGATAATTATTTAAATTTGATATGGGCATTTGGCCGTCTGGGAAGGTTGTGGTTCTCTAATTTTTTAAATAGCATTTCAACCTCTAGAATTTTATTTTATTTTTGATGAAGTAAGTAGATTCATTTAAAGGCATCAAGAAGATGCAAGCTCTACAAGGATAGATCGGTTAAGCTCACAAAAAAAGGATTTGTTGCCTCTTCCTAAACTATAAAGCTAAAAACTCCAAGAAGAGTTCTAAATTATTTATAGGGGTAATTTGGACCAGCTAAAAAGGCAACTCTAGAATTAATCATTGGTGACTTGTAATGAAAGGCCACATTCTTATATGGAAGTTCTTGTCTACAACAGCCAATGAATTGTGAAAAGACATTCTTCTTAACATCAATCTACTACATTAAGAAAACTCAAAAAGTCACGTTTTCAAGAAACCAGAAGTCCTCCTAAATACTTGAGTAACCCTTCTTTTTTTTTTTGAAAATGGTAATAGTTTCTATTTCTGCAAAACAATACATAGGTTGTACTGAAACCCTTCTTTTAAATAAGTATTGTTTAATAATCTATATCTATATCTATATCTATCTATTCTATATTCTATAAAAGTAGGAACCTCAAATTAGATGCCATTTTTATTTAAATAAGTTTTCGACTTATTTTTGTTATTCTGGCTTAATAACAAGTGCTTAAAAGCACTTTTTTTAATCTTACCCAAACACTACACAAGTACTTAAAACCATTCTGGCTTAAAAGCACTTGAAATAAGTCAATCCAAACAGGTTCTTAGAGTTAATGCGTATTATTCCTTTTCTTTTAGATCCAATAAGAAATAAGTCTTTCATTTAGTCGAACTTCACCAAATAGGTCTAAATAACACAATGTCAATTATTCAAAGACATGATGGACACTATTTATGGAGTGCAGTATCAATAACTACAAGGATGTTTCAACCTCCCAAAAAAGTGGGCGGTTGGTCGTCGAATATCGTAACCAGCTAGCAAAGTAGTTCCATGAAAAAATTCAGATTAACAAGTGAAAAAGTGTCAAATTTTTGCCTGAAAATCGCACCAAAAATAACCCTAGGGAGGAAGAGGAAGTGGGTCTGTTAGAGAAGAGTTACCTTCTTGTTTGGTGCAGCGAAGTTGCCCGGAGATGGTAGAGGCAATGGCAGAGAATTGTTGGGAAAAAATTCCTCCGATGTAAAGGGCCGAAATTTATTTCACAAACCTTGTGAATTTGACAGAAAAATAGTTACAAGAGAAGTAGATACACGTTAGAATTCAACAAACAAAAGGAGTGTGAGGCTCACTCGTATTTGATAAGTGGTGTTGTAGTCTCATAATTATTTTGCTTTCCAATTTTTTTTTGTCTCTTTTATCATTTCTAATTTATTAGTACTGAAGATAGTTTTAAAATCATAAAGTCAATTTAAATTTTTATTAGGCTCACTCGTGTTTGGGTAAGATAAAAAAAAATGCTTTTAAGCACTTGTTATTAAGCCAGAATAACAAAAATAAGTCGAAAGCCACAAGTTAGGATTTCTAACTTATGATTTTTGGCTTATATAAGCCATAAGCCCATCCAAACAGGCTCTAAGAAAGTTTAATAGCACTATACAATAAAATATTGATAAATAATGAAGAATAAGATATAAGATAAAACTTTCTCTAAAATAAAAAGATATAAGATAAGATTAGTTCTTCTCAGAAAAACTTCTACAAAGTACCTATATAGGAGCACTTTACTATAATCTACCTTACATCATACTTGCCATTAAACATATTCCTTTTTTCTCTTGTGCTATTTGTGGCATCATATAATTCCTTCCTACATTCCGAACGATGTAGTTGTTTGATATATTAGAAAACTTACCTAGCCACCTTCTTGCACCATGCTATTAGAATTTTGTGCAACAGGAAAGTGTTGAAACTATTTTTCCTGTTTCTATATGAAGCATTCATTTATTTAGTTATCTATGAAAAAGGTTAGATGATACATATTGATGTTCTTAAGCGGTGTAATTATGAGTGTAATTGTGAAGTGACTTCTGGTTTCTTGAAAAGGTGACTTTTGAGTTTTCTTAATGTAGATTGATGTTAAGAAGAATGTCTTTTCACAATTCATTGGTTGTTGTAGACAAGAACTTCCATATAAGAATGTGGCCTTTCATTACAAGCTGATTTATAATAGAATTGTCCATCAAGTTAAGCAAAAGATAATGTAGCTATTGCCACCTTATAAAGGGATAAAGGGACACAATTTATGATAAAATAGAGCTAAATACTTCTATTCCTTGAAATTAAATGAGAAGATGGCAGCAAGCAAAACCAGATTAAAGCATTCAAAATAAGCAGACAACACTAGTTTTGGCATAAATAACGATCCTAGCAAGCATCTAAACAGATTAAAGCATGGAATGAATAAGTAACCTTATCAGCTACAACCAGATTAAGCAGGAAGCTATAACAGACTTAAATTGCTAGTTGAAAACTTGATATAACATGAACAACATTTCAGCCAGACCAAAGCAAAGATTCAATACATTACTTCATGAGATTAGGCTAACATTAGTGACAGTGTAAAATAGTGAATCAAAACAACAGAGAAAACAGCCCAGACTACAATTACATCTTCAATGTACCGACAAAAAAGAAAACACACATTGAAGAAATCAAGTCGTACAGCCTAATAGAAATTAAGACATGAGTCGCCATTATACAAAAATATAATAGAAAAAAAAAAACTAACTCTGAATGCTAACGGGGCAAGCTCTGTATAAAAATTAAGACTAAGCATTGAAAGCATTTAAGAAGAGTCAGGTAGGACATTAAGAAATAATGTAATCAATAACACACAGTAACAACACAACCTCAAAACAATAGCGAAGTGGGACGAACGAGTTGAAGAGCAATGACTTCACCACAAGCGGAGCTTCACCGGATTCCGACGAGCAGAAAAACAACAAACAAAACGCTCAGCTATAGCCTCTAGCTCTTCGAAAATTTTAGGAATTCAGAGAGGTCTGATTTCTTTGAGTTGTAAAATTGTGTTCTTAGAGTATACCCCCAAAGCTGTGTTTTCAAAACAAAAAAAAAACCCTTAACAGTGAAAACGATAGGGTATTTATAGGAGAGAAAATGGGATCAATTTTAGGGGGGGAACGGGATGGATTTGGACAAAATTCAAAATTTGAAATTCGAATTCCTTAAGAGACAAGGTTCCAACAGCAGGAATTCGTACAATTTCAAACAGATTGATATGGGGGATTGTTTGATTTGGGTGGAAGGACGAATGAGGCACTGAGATGCAAACACCTGGCTTCATACGGGAATATTGTTGTACGAGAGGATAAGGAGAGAGGGAGAGAGCACGCGCTACTGCGATTTGGCTTCAACTTGGGTCATTGCTGGAGCTGGACACGATTCTGAGTTCGCTGGCTTCTGGTTTCGCGTGAGAAACAAGAAGAAACGATGTGGGGTCGGGTATTTGGGCGTTGTATGTTGTATGTTGTACTGTTGGGTGAATTGGTGGGCTTCTTTTGGTGTTGGGTCTATGAGATAAAAAGGGAATTGGGTCAGTTGAAGTTGAATAGAAGTGGGCAGAAAGATTGCTTGTTGATGAGGAATTGAAAGGTGGGCTGGGTTAGGGATCAAGGCATTGGGTCGGCTGAAGGTAATAAAAGAGGCCCAACATGGTCTTTTGAATGGGTTGAATAAAATGGTGGGATTCGGCTTAAATTGTAATAGAAATTAATTAACAATTTAGCATCGGATTAAAGAGGTAACCAAAAGAACTAATTTAGAAGATTCGGCAAGAATTCAAATAGGACAAATTAATATAATTAATTTATGAGCTTCTTAATCTTAACAAAATAAAATGATTAACTTAATTACACACTAATTAATTTAAAAATCAACTATAATTTAAACTAAGGTAAATTAACAAAAAAAACACGCTTCTTGAATCAACGAAATAAAACAAAATAAACTAATAAACCAAAAAAAACTTAAAATTATAAATATACTTTAAACCTAATTAATTTAATTGAGTATTAAAAATAAAATCCTTTTGAGATGATTTTCGAATAATCATAAGCCATGCTAATTACATATATAATTATATGAGATATATTTATTATTCAAAATACTATAAAAAAAATAGACTGAAATTACTTAAAATAACCTTGAAATTATTTGAATTTTATAAGGCAAATTATTCTAAATTGTTTGGAAATTAAGAAGCTCCACTACTAGAAAAACAGTGAATACGAGTCCTACAAATACCGACTTCCCAGCTTAGGTCGGAAAAAGCTTGGTCGCTTTTCAATACTGACCTCTGGAGGTCGGTATTTACCGACCTATCAAGGTCAGTTTTAATTTTAAGTCAGAAAATTCATTATTTTATTTTCTGACTTCTTGAGGTCACTTTTATATATTTGTTTATTTTTATTTTTATTATTTCCGTCTTCTGGATGTCAAAATATTTATTTCTTATATTTTGAAATACCGACATTCAGAGGTCGGTATTAATTTAAAAAATTAATTTTTAATATTTCCGACCTCTGGAAGTCAGTATATTTTTATTGTCATTTTTCTTAATTTTTAAATTTCGACCGTTGGAGGTCGGTATTTTATATTTTATATTTTTTTACTTTTGATATTCCGACCTCTGGAGGTCAGCATTGTTTATTTTTTTTTATTATTTTTTTTTTATATTCCGGCCTCCAAAGGTCGGTATCGTTTATTTTTTATTTTATTTTATTTTTGAGATTCTGACCTCCAAAGGTCGGTTTTCTGCTACAAAACTGGCAGCAAATTGCTACAATTTTAGTTGTCTACCTGCATATTTCTACCAAAACAGCCCAAAGAGTTGCCAACACAATATTTTTCCACATATACACTAATCTTCTTCAAAATAAACTTCATCCAACTTCAAAATAAACTAAATCCAACTTCAAAATAAACTAAAATACGATCAAACAACTAAACAACTTTAGCTCTAACTAGTTTTGACTTAATTCCAACAACTAAATCTACCAACTAAATCACATTATTTATTTGAACTTATTTAAACAACCAAACAACATTAACTCTAACTAGTTTTGAATTAATTCCACCAACTAAACCACATTATTTATTTGAACTTATTTCAACAACTAAACAACTTTAACTCTAACTAGCTTTCACTTAATTCCACCAACTAAATCCACCAACTAAACCACATTATTTATTTGAACTTATTTAAACAACTAAACAACTTTTTAACTCTAACTAGTTTTCACTTAAATCCACCAACTAAACCACATTGTTTATTTGAACTTATTTAAACAACTAAACAATATTAACTCTAACTAGTTTTGAATTAATTCCACCAACTAAACCAAATTATTTATTTGAACTTATTTAAAAAACAACTTTAACTCTAACTAGTTTTGACTTAATTCCAACAACTAAATCTACCAACTAAACCACATTATTTATTTGAACTTATTTAAACAACCAAACAACATTAACTCTAACTAGTTTTGAATTAATTCCACCAACTAAACCACATTATTTATTTGAACTTATTTCAACAACTAAACAACTTTTAACTCTAACTAGTTTTGACTTAATCCCAACAACTAAATCCACCAACTAAACCACATTATAATTTATTTGAACTTATTTAAACAACTAAACAACTTTTTAATTCTAACTAGTTTTGAATTAATTCCACCAACTAAACCACATTGTTTATTTGAACTTATTTAAACAACTAAACAATATAAACTCTAACTAGTTTTGACTTAATTCCAACAACTAAATCCACCAACTAAACCACATTATTTATTTGAATTTATTTCAACAACTAAACAACTTTTTAACTCTAACTAGTTTTGACTTAATTCCAACAACTAAATCCACCAACTAAACCACATCATTTTAAATAATAAGTCAAACTAGCTAGGGGTTGATTAACCTTTATTTGAACTTATTTTAACAACTAAACAACATTAACTATAACTACTTTGGAATTAATTCCAACAACTAAATCCACTAACTAATAGGATCAACTAGTATTGGCACTTATGCTTATCAAACATAGTATTCCTAAATTAAAGCTTTGTATCAACACTAGATGGACACAAATTAGTGTTGGT